CTACCTAACGAAAACAAAGGCAACGAAACCTGACACGAAGAACAAATACCAGGCAATGGTGATGGTGATAGGCCTATTGCTAGGGATGTGTGAATATTCGAAAGTTTCGAATATTTGGCAAATATTGCATTTGGAATACTTGTATTCGATTCGATAACCAGATAATTGAAAATTTCGAATATTCGAACTCGAACATTCCTCGAAAATTCAATGTTCACGAATATTCGTTCGTAGGCTCGTGGGATTATTCGAATGGTTCGGATATTCAAACGGATATTAGGATATTTTAATTCGCTTCAGTTCGAATTTAAGTTATTGAAAATTTCAAAGTATTTGCAAGGAACGAATAAGTGCATATTAATCCAAATGTATCGCTTATAAAGGGGGTTTCACTGCAGTATAGGGGTGCTGAACCAAGAAAGCACTTATCGAGAAGAAGTCCACTCTGCCGCGAAGCCCCCCTTCAAATTTAAAGGAGCCCTGCAACACTGTTTGAGCATTGTCGGAAAACGCTGCCGATCGGTAGTCGAGGCTACCGAGGACACGCAAGTCAAATATTATAGCGCAGCATGCGGCGTGCCATTCACAATAAATTCTCAGTCAGCTAGAAATTGCTCTGTTCTCTCGGCAAATGACTCCACAAGCTCGGAAAGCACGTGTGACGTATTTCCTTTTCCCGTGCCTTCCCTCCCTGTTTAGCTTCTAGTGCTTTCGTCAGGATGAGAAGAGAGAATGCGCTAGCAGCATGCGAGAAATCTTTGCTACTCAGCCTGTACTGGATGGATTCTAAATGTACTTGCGGCGGTTAATTTATGAGGCCATAAATATGCTTCTTTATTGAATGCATTACATGGCTTCTTGAAAAAAGGTGGCACGACCCCTTTAAGTGAAAATATTACTCTCAAATCAATTAAATTTATTAAGTCATTTATGATGGCTTATATGCTCTAAGTATAATAAATCTTTATATGTTACATATTTTAAGGGTTATTACTCACATCCTGCTGAAAGTAAAATCCTGCTACTACTCAAATCTCTTTCCACTTCATGTGAACAAGGAGAAAAAAAAAAACAGAATTTGCATAGACGCTCTATTTTATTTTTTTTTAATATTGTGCAGGTTAGTTAGGTCATGATAAATATGCCCATTTTTCTTTATATGTCGTATATACTATTAGAATTCGACAAAAGTCACTGTTCGCTTCGAACCTAAAATTCACCTTGTGCAGATTACTCGAGGCGCGAAAAACATTTCGTGAGACGGGAGAAGAAGATAGGAAAGAAGAACACAGCATTCTTGATTGTAAAATGGCGAGCGTGGTCCTTGAGAAAGGCAAGTGAAGCAAGCGAAATAAGGAGTATTTCTGTGTTGCTGAAAAACGCCCCGAGTACTATTTTCCTTAGTGACTTGACCTGATATGAAAACAGGGGACAAAATTAAAAATAAAACTGTAAAATTGGGGTCTTTTGAGCTAAAAGTGGATGAATTTAGACCACCTAGACTGATTTAATAATCGCTTAGAGTTAAGTGCACGCATGTTAACTGTTACAAAATCAAACCAATTGCCTCATGCTCACTAGTCATCAAGGCAGGTACAAAAGCTTTTCTTTCTTATTTTTGTAATAAAGTGGTACCACATAAAAAAAAAAGATACAAAAGGTTTGTTCATCATGTGCATTGAATCCAACATCACAGTCACAAGCTCACCTATTACTCTTATGCTTTCTGGCAAATACAGATGGTGACATTTTTTTTTTAATTTTTGTGTGCAATAACTGAATTATACTGTTTTCAACATAAATATATGATTGAGTAAAAGATTACTGGTGTAAAAAAATTGCACCTCTTCATTATTCAATTCGTAAAATTTGAAGCTATGTATTCCTACTCGATTCATATTCGAAAATTTTGATATTCGCACACCCCTATCTATTGCACATTTGAATAGGGTGAGCAGATAGAGAAATATGCTGGCATTCTCATGGTGATAATAGTAGCACTTACGGTGCTAGGCATTAATTTTACAGCCACGAGTGACTTTTTAAAATCACTATTCGCTGTTTTCAAGTATTGTGAAGATATGGGGATAAAATTGATACCTCATTTCTAAAATTTGGTATTTTGAAATTCGTAATAGTGAAATATTTTTCATGAAACCAATGAACATGTGGAGGGGGATATGTGAAAAATTTGTTATTCTTAAATAATTATTATCCTGAAGTTTGCTCGGAGATTTGATTATGTATATATATATTTTTAATTGAAACAAGGCCCTTGCAAATGCTTTTTCTTTTTTTGGTTCAAAGAAATGGAACAAACTTTAGACACGGTCGAGCCCCGCTATAGCGAAAAATTCACGGTTACACATCAGCAGTTCATAGGAGGCAGTTAATAAATTTTCTCGCCACAACAAACTCTTCTTCTTTTGCTGTTCCTTGTTCAACGAAAATTGATCATGCCATTCCAGTCTCAGATATTTAGTGCGATGCAGTAAACACAATCTTAAACATTTTGATGCATTTTCAGAACATAAGAATACATCTACGAAGTCTGAAACACGCATTGGCACCACCAGGAACTGCCGCTATTTATTAAGCATGGAGGCCCACATTGCTCGATAGCGATGGCATCAAGACTGCCCTGCTTTTGCCACTGCCTTGCTTCTGAGCCTCAGACAATCCGAAGCTGAAGCTTAGTTCCCAACACACTGCTGCTGAGTGCAGTCGCAGAACGATGCCTTTTCTGCTGCCACTGCTTTTGGTTAATTTCATGCTTGGCTAATGTGGTCACTGGTCAACAAGATAAGCGAGCCCCTACTAGTGGATGATAAGAATAGCATAGAAGGAGGCATGAGTCACTGCTTCACATACCACGCCTGCATATTGGCTTTGTCGGATGCCTTGATGGTGGACAGCTGGTGTTAGTGTGTTAGGTGTTAGTGTGTTAGTGCTATTGTTAGGTTTGTTGACGAAAGCTGTTGTGGCCGTAGTAGTAGTATGCTTTTTAACATGGTGTCATTATGCATGTGTGAGAATCGTGTATAGACGCTGCTGGGAAAAAAAGAGAAGCAGCCAGCACTTTTCAAATTCTGAAAGTAAAAGTTCCTTTGTTTTGCGAGCTCAGGTCCACTATCTTTTTTTTATTTCCCTACAACAAAATTTTTTCTTCAATTAAATTTTTTTTCTTGCCCTGTCAGTTTCGTTTGACTTTTGCTAAATGCTAATAACTAAACCGGTAAAATATGTCACGTTTTCATATATACTATACTTATCGCCTATGGGCTGGTATAACAAGCTTTTAAACGACAAAAATGATGAATCGATGGAAGGGTAATATGCTATTTAACTTTGAAGTGGAGCTTCGCGGCAGTGGGGATCTTCAATAGGTGTTTTCGCAGCTTAGCATCTTTCCGCTGCAATGAAACTACCTTTTGAGTGTTATATGTGCACTTATATACACCTATTCGTTTATTTCAAATACTTTGAAGTTTTCAAAAAATTAAGTTAAATCAAAGCAAATTCAAATATTTTGATATCCGTTAAAAAATTCAAAGCATTCGAATACAGTCGAACCCCGCTACGACGAAACTGGAGAGGCACGTCAAAAATTTTGTTGAAGCGAAAATTTCGTAGTGAAATAAACAAATTATAGCTGATCTGAACTAAAGCAAACAAACGTTTATTTTCAAAATTCAAAAAGTGTCTGCTGCTTTTTATTCTATCCGAGCAGCGTCATGATGCGATTCTCACCCATGCATAGCAAGGCCATGGTGAAAAGCACGCTGAAACTAATGACTACAACCACTTTCATGAATGAACTAAAGAGTTACATTAACATGTTAACACCAGCAGCTGTCTGCCGTCGAAACGCCGAGATGGCAGCAGAATATCGTGGAGCAGTGATGTTTGCCTTATTTTATGCCATTCTTATCATACATCACTCGCGGCTAGCTGATTTTGTTGATAATGCGGACGAACAGTTGCTCTGATTAGTTACCACACTGGCCAAGCGTAAACAAAATGATAAGCACAGGAATCAGAAAAGGCATCGTTTCGAAGATGCACCCAGCAGCTGCCCGAAGGAAACCATAAACTAAGCAACTGAGCTTCAGCTTCGTATCGTCTGCGGCTATACAGTAAATTCAATCTTTAACATTTTGATGCATTTTCAGAACCTGAAAATACGTCAACGAGGTCTAAAACACGCGTTTGCACCACCAGAAACCATTGCTGTTCTGCAAGCCTGGACGCCGCCATTGTTCGATAGCGAATGAAAAATGTCAATTTTTTTCAGACTGCAGTTTGCAAAAAAATTTTACCCTGGAAGGATTAAAGATGTATGATTAAGCAATAGGTGGTGCTCCTGCATCGCCATTCTGTAATGATGTTTGGCATTATTATAATATTTATAACTGACACTTTGACTTTTGTGTGACTTGAAATACACAGTCATTTCCTGTTTTGTGAGACTTGCATAATATTCCAGTTGATTTTCTGCCTTGTATTGAATAAAAGGCTAAGTGGAGTAACTAGAAGACCGTTGCTTCTTTTGTTCTCTTGTAAATTGCACACCTGTAATATAGCATTCTTGTTTTTGTTGTTGTTTACAAAGATAGCTTTTACTCTCATTTTATCTCTGCCTTTCTCTGCAAGTGTGGTGTGTGTATGCAAAGAGTTTCAGGAGAGAAAAGCCAGCATGCTTTAAATAATAGGTATACGTAGAACCTATGTTAGTTTAATGGCTTAGCTATTGCATTTAGCTCGTTTTTGGCTTGGTCAAGAATATGTTGTTTCTATATTTTAAACGGTATCACTGTACGTACACTCGAGTGATACAGAAGACGAAAAAAAAAAAAACATTGTGGGGCACCATTGGGGGGCACCTTTACAGCTAGTCTAATCGACAAAATATTGCTGTATGACAACCAGCTTTATGTTGGCCCTGAAGTAATCTTTTGAGGCCTCTCCCACATTTTGTGTCTTCACCTGTTCTTCTGCAGGAACGGGTTCCCACTGCCGAAAGCCAGTCATCTCCCGTTTCTGAGAAAAGGTGAGTCCTTGGAGTGGAGTTCTTTCTAATAATTGTGTTGGCAGGTTTTGTGTTGTCGAGAATGATAGCCTGATGTTCACTACTAGTAAAAAGCAGCTGTTAGCTAGCCAGAAGTTCAAGCAGTTTAGTGTGGCCACTACTTCCAACTAATTCTTATGCACCCATGTCACGAAAGTGCCACTTCCTGCCGATGGTTCGACGTCACCAACTAAATGCCTCTGTGGAGGATGCACTGTGCCCAGTTTCTATAATGACATGGAATTTCTATGAATTATCAGAAACCATTAACGAAACTGCCTAAATTATGTAAGCCTAAAAGGCATTATAAGTGCACTGTGTAACAATAAGAGAGGTTACCAGAGTGTGACATATTGAAAAGTCGTGGAAGCAATTTGCAGGCAAGCAGCAGTTCAAGCATTAGAAGAAATTTCCTATCATGGCAAGAAAGTTTGATTCTATTTGCGGCACGGCGATAATTTCAATCTCACCTGCTTTTTGCACTAAGAACCTTATTGAAAACCAGTAGAAGCTGTATTTCAATTGGGCTGTGTCGAACAAAGAGGTGAGCCCACGAAATTCCACCCTTCTTTCTGTAATCGGGAAGGAGTTTGAAGATTCTCTATGTAAGTGCAGCCTCACAATTTCCTCTTTAAATGGGAAGCTCTTGATGGGGTGTTTGGCACACTCTGTTGGGGCAAACTTAATATTAAACACATCCTACTAATTGGGTGAACGTCTGTATAACTTGGTAAGAGTAATAGTCTCCTCTCATGTTTTTCCCGGGACTAGGAGTGGTAGTTGGCTGTTGCTGTTAGCTCAGTGTAGCATTTTCGTTCTGATACATCATCATTTGCACATTGATTTTACTATTTCATCGCTCGCTTCTGTTTCTGAACCTTGTTATTGCAAGAAATAACGAACCGAAATGAGGTCAATGATATCAATATTAGCTACGAGAAGAGAAACTTCAACTCGTTGGCAGTAATTCATTATTAGAGAGTAAAGGTGCTAAATATGGATGAGGGCTGTGTTGTGCGTTCCCTTCTCCTCGTTCATTTTTAGCGCTGTTGCTCCTTCATGATTAGGTACGAGCTAGGTATTTAGCAAAATGGGTGTGTTGCCTTTGTATGGTTGAATTAGCTCTGAAATGCTGCTCATGGTCTTCCACAAGGGCTGCGCAAATGCTGCGTAATTATGCTTGGCACATGATTGCCATGCTGCGAGTTGGCAGCCACCACACATGGCCGTAACGTTAATAACCATGGCCAGGCCATCGGATAAAGGTGGCGGTGGCTTCATTTGAATTTTGATTAAAAGGCGCTTTAGTGCAGCGCCTAATATGGACCTGCTTCCTCATTCTAGTGCACTTTATTGAATAGTAATTCATCCCATCAATTGCTTTAAGGTCAGTGTTCGCCCCCTCCTGTGAAACTGCGATCAGTCAGGAGTTGGCGGGGCACAACTAAAAAAAGCGGTAAGATGTGGAAAGTGCACTTGTAAGGCAATATGTAATGACAGCATTTCAAACAGAGTGGGTAGATCATAGGAGCCCTCCGGAGTGACCATAGCCTAGAAGAAAGCAAATTAAAATTTATGAAATAGTATCCTGTGCCCAACTGTTGTTGGATATCATGTGGTAAACCACTCTATTTACCTTCCCTGCAATTTGAGCCAAGGGAGCAAGTACGATTGCCTATCTGTCAACTCTCCCAATAAGCCAGGAGACTTAATTTCTTTGGTGTTCTTTGATAGAATCAGTCCAGCTATATGTTACCCACTGAACTACCTCAATTCAATTGAAAAAAAAAAAAAAACTGGAAACAACTAAATTGAATAAAGTGATGCTGCACAGCCGTGTTGTTTCTGCTATCACTTGTTAGATACCTAGCAGAAAAAAGTTGGGCACAGTGATGGCATGAGCGCTTAGTAGGTGACATGCTGAATACAGTTCGCTTCAAATTGTTGGTGCCACATTGAATCAACTGCCTAATTTCAAACCAGCAGCATGAGTTTTTGTTGAGTAGAAATCACTGTACAAATGCATTGTACACGCACATGCCAGAGAAAGCTGGAAGGGGTCGTCTGCTCAGCTGCAATGTCATACTATTTCGTGATGTTTATTGCACCTTTATTTATATACAGTCAAATCTTGTTAGTATGTAATCTTTAAACGTGCTAACACTTATAACGTACTTGCGACGAATTCCCGACAGTGTACCATAAAGGCTAATGCATTCACAGACCGCCTGAGCCGTGGGGTTCGTCTTATTCCTCTTAATTATTGTAAAATAACATTTTGCTCCATAAATGTTAACTGTGCCGCTGAACTTGCAGGTGCCACAATGTGTCACAAGCGGCTTTTTGTCATTTTTATTATTCAGCGATTGCAGAATCTTTGCGATATAATCATAGGGGAAAAAACAAAAGGCAAGGTGATGGACACCAATAAACGTGCTGGTATGACTTATCGCCGACGAAAGCTTTATCACAGTAAGCATTTTCATAGTATGCCACATGTGTGCCCGAGCAGAAGGGCACACATGCACACATGGCATAGTGCCGCTTCAAGCCTACTGCATGCTTTTAATAGGCGACCTGAACTCACTGGATTGCCGATCGCTGCCCCCTCGTTGTGATAGATAGATAGATAGATAGATAGATAGATAGATAGATAGATAGATAGATAGATAGATAGATAGTTAGATAGTTAGATACATAGATAGATATGTGGGGTTTAACGTCCTAAAACCACCATATGATTATGAGAGATGCCGTAGTGCAGGGCCCCGAAAATTTCGACCACCTGGGGTTCTTTAACGTGCACCCAAATCTGAGCACGCAAGCCTACAACATTTCCGCCTCCATCGGAAATGCAGCCGCCGCAGCCGGGACGCGACCTGCGGGTCAGCAGCCGAGTACCTTAGCCACTAGACCACCGCGGCGGGGCCCCCTCGTTGTGAGGGACCGTGTTTTGCGTTGCAGGCTGCGGGCATCGAGAAGCATTGCTGTATTGATGCTAACATGCGTACTGTACAGCAAGTAACTGTACTGCATGCTTTTATTAAGTGACTGCCCAAACGTGCCTCTGTCCGCTGCCAGGACAGCTAGAACATTGTGGAATGCGCATCGCTTGCAGAAAGCTTGTCATCGCCATTTTAACCCAACAGGCTACTCTCCGCATCTGTGCATGGTCTGAAGTGAAGTGGCCGTATTCTACAGCAAGCCGATCGGCAGTCACGGCATGTGCCAAGTAGGCGAAGTGTTGCATGTAACTAGCCAGTAGACGATTTTGCTCTCTGCAACCATACAGCATTTCAAAACTGTTGTCAGTTTCCGCTTAGAAGCCGGTCGCAGAACACAAGTATCAGAGACAGCCAATTATGTCCATTTTGTCACTATACATGGGTAGCATGTGACGTCATTTTCGGCTAGCAGAGTGAGCGATCGCCATGTTTGTCAACATTGTGCCAGGCTGCGTGTACAGCTGGCCACCGCGGCGGAGCTTGTCAGCTTCATTCGAGCGATATGGCGAAAGAAAACGTGCACATGCTTTGTGTGTCGTGCTTCGAAGAGCTTGTGGGACCGACTTGTGTACGTAATTGAGCAAAAATTGAAATGTGCGATCGCATCGACCTGTATTAACTGCGCATCGGTAAGGATGCTGCACTGAACCTCGATCTGTTGCCTTTCGTGGCACACGGCGACATCGTGAACTATTTGGTGCTTTCGACAAGTCATGTCACGCTGCAACAAATGAAGGCCTACAACACTGGAAGGCCACAACTACTTCACCAGCAAGTGGGTGAACAGCATAGCACCAGAGCAGCTTCCATCACAGCGTGTCGTCCTTCTAAGCGAGGTTAGTTACGACGCTCTTTCACGTTATGGTCAGTCAAACCTAATTCTTCTCAAGACACATGAGCTTTGACAGGATCTACCGCCGATGGTTTATCACGCTCCGGCTCTGCATCTATGGTGGGCAGCTCAAGTGATCTTTCAGATTCTAGTGGACGGCATGCCCGCTATGACTGCATCCAGCATGTCCGTCTGTTGCTTTTTAGAGCGGTGAAAGCGGGCAGATGCTGCGGCAGTGGTGTCCGGTCGTAACAGCCGTGACCCAGCAGTAGGCTTGGTGCCCAGTCGAAGTTTGCATCATCCATTAAATTAGCGCGTTGTCCTATGAAAGAAGACACGTTCACATATGTTTCATTGTTAGACCTCATATAACAACACAAGACGGGAGTGGTATTCAAGAGAAAAAGGGTGCCTGAACATAGATGAGAATCTAGGTTTTATTCTCGATAAGCGACGTGATCGCGTCAGTAAGCATGCTAAACCTGGATATAACCCAGAAATACCATTACCTGTGATGAAGTGATGACTGCAGACATGGATGTATTTCTCTTTCTTCAGGTTTCTTCGGTTATTGTGTGCCAGCCAAACCATACAGCGCTTTTTTGACGACATACTTGTTCGCGCGCACTGATTTGTAAAAAAAAATTATGGACCATCTCCTCGAAGGGAACCCTGATGGGATGCGAAGCAGCAGCATTTCGCATGGACGTGAAAAGTGTGCATGTTCTGCACGGCTAACATAGCATACCTGCCAAGTCTCCCGGATTGGTTGGGAGACTCTTGGATTTCGACTGTTTTTTTCTGTTTGTACAGTTGTCATGAAAATCTCCCAGAAATCGAATTTTTGTGCGTGATCTGGCTGCATTGACAAAAGAAGCAGCTCAATAGGCTCCAGGCTTTTCAAACCTACCCTATTTTTATATAAATGAGTTTAAGAGGCGGTCATCTAAACCTACAGTAGAATCTCAGTGATGCGAAACCGCGGCAGATAGGCATTCGCGAAATTCCCCTGCCGAATTCTATGTTCATTGGGCCTATAAATTCAAATGTTCTGCACACATTTGCTAATCGCAGGTGATACGAAATTTAGCACGGAAACCGTCGAATGAAGGTCGAGAGCAGCGTACTTGAAGCTTCGGAAGTATGTGTGCGATCGCGGTAGCTCTTGACACGATCATGTATGGCGATGGCGTAATTGACAGAACTTTGAAAAAGTGCGCTCAACCAGTCAAAGCAATGCTGCTTTCCACAAACGGCGAACAAAACTGCGGCAGATGCGATTCTAGATGGCATAAAATGACTTAGTTTTGAACGCGGGTGCGTAGTCAGACACACGGGAATTGTAAAAAGAACTACACCATTTGCCGCAACCGCCGGGCGCAAAACTGCGGTCGCGGCGATGCGATAGTGATCTGCGAACTCCGAGGGCACGCGATTAAAGGCAGTAAATGCGTTAAAAAAGGTCAGTCTCGCAGCTAGGGCGAAGCAATGAATGCGACAGCACACGCTGAAAACGGCAAACGGATCGAAACGTGCACGTGCTGCTCACGCACAAATAAAGCATGAAAGCGATACACACAGAACGAAAGCGAACTAGCATTTACCGCTCCACACATAACGCGCCTCTTGAACAAAAAAGATGCACGATACCTAATCACAAATACGGATGAGTACAAACAAACAAGTGTCCCAATTATACCTCGCTGTGTAAGAAAAGTGCGCACTTTTCGCAAACAGAGCCTGTGCAGTGACTGAAGTGACCTTTGTGGGCCCGGCAACAAATGCAATCGTTCCAGTGAAAGCCGAAGGCACACGATTCTCCCCATCAAAGGTTAAGCGCGCGCGCAAGATCTAACCTTGCCATCTGCGGGGCAAGGTACGCATGAGAGATAAGCGTGCGTCGGCGCATCACAAGCTTGGCGCCGAGCATGGGCGGCTTTTTTTCTTTCTCGAGTGTTCATATATATATATATATATATATATATATATATATATATATATATAGATACGTATACTTATACGGTGAATCACTGTGCACATAACTGCTATCGTAATAAAAAGGGGCCAGACGCGTTTTGGCGTTCCTGTCAAAAAGAATATAGTAGTGAGCAAAGCTTTGACCCGCGCTTTTTCGGCAGCCAGCTGGGCCGTCCCATTCGTTCACGTGTGTCCCAGAAAGACATACCCGAGTTGATTTGACAGAAATAGATTTTGTTAGTTGGTGTTGATCCTTTGAGACTCTCACCTTATTGGCCGGGAAACCCTATCCTCGTGTGTTCGGCCACTCCAAGCCACTATAAGAACGATTGAGACCACCCCCCCCCACCCCATCTTGTTTTTCGCAACGTTTATTTGTTTGTTTCTCCTTGGTTTTTTTTGTGCTGACAACTCTCTCCCCTTCTCCCCCCCCCTCCTCCTGCCGTTGCGAAATCTCCCGTATTCAGAATCCTTGAACTTGGCAGGTATGACATAGCATGATATTTGAGAAAGGTAAATGGTGGCTGTGGTCTTTGCCTTTATCCGCTGAAAAACGGGGAACCAGTCAAAAGGCTGGTTGCCTTGGCTTAGGTGGCGGGGGTCACTTAAAATTACACAGCCACCACCATGTGCAAGGGACTTTGCGGAATCGCCAGCAACTCACCCAGTCCTCAGTCGGTGCGCCATCTGTTGACGTGCAAAAAAGCAGCACACAATTCGGCTCTCCCCAAAAAGAGCTCCCTTCGCATTGTTTGCTCACCTAAAGTATTTCTTACACCATGGCCAGGACCAGGGCATCAGTTCAAATTAACTGCAAGTTTCAATTAACGAGCTTTTACAGTATTTAGAAGTATCACTGCATAATCTCATAGTATTTAGGTGGCTGTTTTGGAGCTAAATGTTGTGTAGTTAAATGCCATTCAGTCGCTGATAATTTATGATAATGTAAAATAGCAGCTTACTGTTTCCAGTATGTCATCGTAAGCATCTGTAGAGATTGCACACTATCTGTTTTTGTTTATACTTTGTTATTTCTGTAATGCTGTTTTGAAAGTATTTTTCACATCCTGTACAGAAGGGCATTCCGAGATGCATGATTCACTTTCAATATGCTGCAAGAGAGGCACAAGTTGACAACTGAAAGGAGGCTTAACGTAGTTAGCAGCTCCCAGAACAGTGTCATAACAAATGAGGCTCTATGGTTTGTAAATAGAGTAGAAATAGTCCACAATTTAATAGGTGTTGTCCTAGGCATTGCTAATTGGCATCCATAAGTGTAGCGGGTTTATTTCCTTTAAGGGACCACTAGTACCTACACTTCTGAAGTGCTGGGTTGCTGCAGAGACATGTTGATGCCACTTGGCATTTTGCACTGTGACTCTCATAGAACGGAGGCCTGTGGCCTTTCTTGTGCATACAAGACGTGGTGTAAACAAGTAGCACGGACGTGCTTTCTCGAGCACTTGTTCTAAATTCCTCAACTTGGTTGTGTGTTTCAGGAAGTGGCACTGGCGTAATTTTACACTATACGCTTCTCGCACGAGAAGGTAACAGTGGCTTTGGCCTGTGGCGAGAGTCCACAAGACGCAAATTCTGGATGCGGCAGGTAATACTACAATATGCTGCCAAAGATAATAAAGTTATAGCTGTGCTTTGAGCAGCTTTAATAATAAGAGACACTGTCACTAAGTTTACTTGCAGCATGCTTATGCAAATTTCTTGTAGGATATTTTGAGAATGGCATAAGCTACTTTCAAGTAAAATTTGCCTTGCTTCACTTTTCTCTCTCTTGTTATGTATATATATTTGAAAGACACCTTTTCTAGTAAACTCCCTGTCTATTCTGTATTAAGCTGCCTGGCTTTCTGAGGCTCATTTATGCATGTGTTGTTCAAACTACACTGCCTGCAATCTTTTGGGGGAACATTGACTATGTGCAATGATACCTCTGCATGCTTATTTTCAGGGAGAGTGAGAGGGATTTCATTTGAGTAGGGAAAAAGTTGTCTGCTGCAAATGCACTGCGTGGCGAACTTTCTGTCACTACTTGCACCTGCGCAAAGCAGTCACTCGGGGCTGCAAGGAAGGGCCTTGCCTTGAATGGTTGATTTGAAAATGCCATTTTGTCCGATTATGGCAACCGAGACAAATTAGTAGTTAAATTTTCTTTTAAAACGCAGTAGACCCTTTTCATAATTCATAAGTGTGCCTCTCTGCGCTGCATATTTGCACAAGATATCGCGACAGCTTTCACAGTTCAAGGAGAGACGCGGTCCTAGTTGGACGAGCTCGGGCTTGTCTACTATGCGCATTTATATTAAAAGGACTGTCTACCGCCCTTTGTTGCTCTCCTGTTGTGTGTCGCAATAAAAAGCGTACCATGTGAAGTGTCTAACCTTGCCGCGGTTTCTCTGGAAATTGCGCAGAAATGTTTAAAACAGAATTTTTCTGTCCATGTCTTCTTCCATCGGTGGGACGAATTCCCACAACACTGGTCAGTGCGTGTTAAAGTCGAAAACTGAGACCGCATGTGGTTTTTGCAGGCTTCGTCAAGTTTGGTTATAAATAAAACAAATATCTTAGTGGTCGTTTTAGGCACACACACTTTTTTGTTGTTCTCATGAGCGCCGGCGAACGCCGTGGTCGTGTTTTTCCGCCGTTTGCAGGCAGGCATGCACGCAAGCGAACACTCTGCTGGCAGCGCTACCGGGCGCCTATTTGAGCACATGAGGAAACAGAAAGTATAAATTGGCCTCTGGTGCAACCTAAAGCTGCCTCAAGTGCATAAAATACAACTTCAAGTTAAATGTGTTTGTTTTTAAGTGAAATAAGTTTACCTGCGAGGATTTCTTGTCCTACCAATAGATTGTTATGATTGACCACATTCGCTGTTGGGTGACGCTAGTGGTCACTTTTTATCAACTTTCAACATCAAGCAAAAATTATAATTCCTTGTTTCTGGCCCAAAAGCATGCTTGTTGCTGCGGATGCGGTGAACAACCTTTTTATTTGCGCCACAATCAGAAAAATTTTTCCGAGCGGTAGACAGTTCCTTTAAGAAAGCCTACACCATGTTTTCTTGGATACTTCATAGTGGAAGCGATCCACGCTTGAACAGATTTTTTCCAGTATGTGACTAGCCGCCATTAGTTCATACTATTCTTACGCACCCGGCTGTTGGCTTCATGTCATACGTGGTAACTAAACGAATAATTGGTGCAGAGTAATATAAACGACAGCTGTGATTTGACTCCTGCATAAATGTGCCAAAGTGTGTGAAATAGGATTTACTGCATCATCCTGATGGAATCTGCATAAATTGTGGAAACTGCGCCGGAGACTCTGGTTTATTTGTGTCTGTCACCCGCTTTCGTAATCTTTACACGTAAAAAATATGTGGAGCTTCATCTCGAGGCCACCGAAGTTACAACCACCGACAAAAGGTCATTCGACTAACAAAACAGCACTGGCATATGCGTCCCGATTATGGTGCCATGTACGCTGCTGACGCAATTTCTGGTGTGCAAGTCGACGGCAATACACGCTCTCTGCAAGTCCTAGCAACTTGTAGGCCAATTAATGTCAATCAAGTGTTGGCAATTCGACTGATGTCATCTCTTCCACAAGCACTTTTCGCTTTTGCAGCAGATGTATCTTTATAGACGAAAATTCTGATGAACTGAATGACTGACTTGAATGTTGCATCGAATTCCAGCCATGGCAGTTGCATTTTGATAAAAGTGAAATACTAGAAGTTTGTGTACTTGGGTTTAGGTGCACATCATGTACTTGGATTTATTTAGGTGCACATTTTAAAGAGCCCCAGGTGGTCAAAAGTTTGAGCCCTCCGCTTCGGCTTCCCTCATAATTATACCTTGGTTTTGGGATGTAAAGCCCTGGAAATTAATAATAAGAGCTGGGCGATGAAATGTATGCCAAGGAGGTCATAAAACTGCTATCAGCTTTCTGTTAAAGCCGAGTTAAAATACTGTATTGTCCCACTGCGGTGGTCTAGTGGCTAAGGTACTCGGCTGCGGACTCGTAGGTCGCGGGATCGAATCCTGGCTACGGCGGCTGCATTTCCGGTGGAGGCGCAAATGTTGTAGGCCCGTGTACTCAGATTTGGGTGCACGTTAAAGAACCACAAGTGGTCGAAATTTCCGGAGCCCTCCACTACGGCGTCTCTCATAATCATTTGGCGGTTTTGGGACGTTATGCCCCACATATCGATCGATAGAACATTGTATAGTTAAGTGCAGAATGTTTTTAGAGTATTTTAAGAACAGAAATGCAATGCTCTGTAAGTGACTTTGCGCGGTAACTGCATAGACGAAAATATGGATTCAATAACTGACTGTGGGAGCTGCTTTACTTCTAGGAAACAATGTAAATATGCTCTCATATTCATGCTGTTAAGGTTAATGCAGTGCTACCCTCTTGTACCTTTTGTGTTCCCTTAGAAAAAAAGGCAATAGTCATTGTTCTGCATGAAACCTGAAAAAAGGTTTTTTAAACTTATACTGCCAGTGCTCAACTAGATAATTGAAACTAGGATCACTTTCAGTACTACAACTAAAACTAGGGCCCTGTATAATTATCATTGGTTCTCAGTATTACCAGACATTTTTTTCACTTTCTATTTCTCGCTCATTTAATAGTAATTACAGTACAGAGATTCAAATCTACGCAGGAAAAATACTTCAATGCATTGAAGCGCTGTTGATAACTCAAAGGTTCACTGAAAAAGCTTAAAAATTTTATACAAATTATTAAGCCTGTGTAGTGAACTGTTTTAACATATAAATTTGAATGCTCTGTGTGTTATGTGTAATCTATTCGTTGTGTGTGTTCAGACATGCATACATTGCAATAGTTCAGAGTGGTGCTGTCGCACAGACTTTTCAGATGCCCCTGCATCTGGGACGTGCCATGTTTTGCGACATAACTCATGCGACCAATCGGATTCAGATCTTAGCGTTTGTAATAAGATGTAACATAAGCCATTAATAAGTGTTACTGAAATGGGCAGCACTCGTAATGGGCATCACATGGGAACTAGCTGAACTAGGTCTAATTAGCAATCGTACCGCATAGTACAATTGTACGCACTCGACTAGTGCTTAGTCGAGTACTAATACTTCGTAATACTTCGGCATTCAGAGGAGTGTACATGCTGAGTGTTCCCTGCAGACTGGTACATCACTCAGTACCTCTGTAGAGGAGTTGGCATGCTAAATGTTCTCTGTGGACCAGTATATCAGTCACTGCTTGTGTAGAAAAGTTGGCATGCTGAATGTTCTGTACGGACCAGTACATCAGTCATACTTGTACAGTTCAAACCCGCAAAAAGGAAATCGGTAGGGAAAGCACAAAATTTCGCTCTAGCAGGAATTTCGTTGGCACGAGAATGGCGCAGAGAAAACATGGGATTTACTAAAAAACACATATTATTTCCAAAAGCCAGTAAGTTTACTTTGGCGGGCCTTACTACTAACGCGCCACTAACTTTAAGGAATATCCGAATAAAAAAGGGAGACTTTTCTCCTATGCAGCCATTTGTCTCGCTCAGCGGCACAGTGCACGAAAATCCCCGTTTGTCGCACTTTCTTACAGAAGCTGTTTCTTTTTTTCTTGCATATTCGGCAGATATTACTCAAATCTTAATCTAGCCCAAGTAATTTTATATGCCGAAAATAATATTGTCCTGTAGCCATGACGGTGAATAGTGTAGTCACCAAACCAGCTAATATTTGTCTTTCAGCTGAGCTTGTGGCACCGTGAAATAAAGCTCACCAACTACAGTGGTGCATGCACAGAGAAGGGTCTTCTAAAGCTGATCCGCACTTCTAAATAAAACGTCAGTTCTTCCTACATGAGTCATGGTATACGTTCCAGCATCATTTCTCATTTGCAGAGGCCGCAGAGTGTGTTACAATGTCCGTGTCGCACTTCCAACGAGAATAGAATACTATAAGACGTTTGTTATCTTTTCAAATCGTCTGTGCGTGTCTTCCATCTTGAAATGACCATGTGATGCATTCGCTATAGAAAAAAAAAACTAACTAATTATGTTACTCATTATGCTAATAACAAACTCATTAACTTCGTGCATTACCCCTATAAAAAAAGTAATGGATGTTATTTCTGCCGTTACTCCATTATCCGAAATTTTAAATCATTGAATCATCGCTGCCGGAACACACAATAAGAATTTTATGAAGGTCAAAGTACTGATCAAACAAGAATAATTTGTATTAATGTGCCGTTTCTTTGCAATACTATTTATGGTTGTCTAAATTTACTTGCCCTGTTATATTTGAAGGCTTTTAACTCTGCGGCACATGGTAAGACGATTTTTCTCAGTGGAACAATAAAAGTGAATTCGTCAATGTCACTGTCAACGCTCTCTGCAAAGAAAACATCACTGAACAAACTTGCAGTAATCTTAACTGCGTTCTTCTGCTAACAAAATTATGCTCTATTTTGTAGCAATAAAAAATGCCTGATGGCCTAAATCTGGGAAAAAGTATTTGCACACAATTTTTTTCATCAATTTATTTGCATATTTACCACAGAAGTTGGGAGTGTATATCTAAAGCTGTTTGG